AAATATGGTATCTGCTAATGGAAAAAAACCTGAGAAAATGCAGATTCCTGCACGCACGTCAGGACTTGATGTTGTTGCCCTTAGAGAACCATAAAGAGTGGAAAAAATGCATAAGCCACGTGGATAGAAATAACACAAACACACAGAACAGGAGAGGGGGGATCTGTTTTGCCAAATCCACTGGTTTTAAGCAAGGAAAGCCCAGGGGAAATCATGAGGGTATTATTTAAAACCAGGCTTCATAGTCAGAAGGTAAGGAAGAAGCAGTGACTTGTCTTCAAGCTAGGAAATGGATTTCAGTTAAGTGCTGGGATGACTTAAAATGGGATCTGAAGTTGTTGACACTTGTAATTCTCTGGAAATAATTCCATGCTTTATTGCAGGATGTATTTGATGGAGAAACTTGAAACTTATGTAACATTGTGTGGGGTTGTGTTTATCTTAACATCACTAGGCCTTATTTTTGCTATTTTCAGTTAAGTGCTGTCGTTTTTCCTACTGTTTAATGACACCTTTTAAAGCCCTGTGGAAATCCAAACAAGTGCCAAATAAAGTGCTGTTGGCTTTTTTTCTTTCTGGGTAGGTGCTGTGACAAAAGATTATGGACCAAAATAGATTTAAACCATTGTAAATCCATCACTCCACTTATGCTTAGTGGCATTATTAGGAGACAGCCTGTAACCCTTGATCTTAGCTGGACAAATATATCTAAAAAGCAGCTGAGTTGGCTTATCAACAGACTGCCAGGTAAGTGATGTGTTTTGATCACCAAATTTAGCAAACCTGTTAGTATGTAAACTGCAGCCTCTGGGGAAGGTCTGCAGGGATTGGGTGTTGTAGGAGAGGAGTAGATTCTCCTGGGTGGGGTGTAGATGTGTAAAAACAATGGGTTAAAATGGGCCCAAAATTATTTTTTGTGACTACTTGACGTGTTTGCTTAAAATAATTTGAGGCAGGTCTTGGCCAAGAGGTGGAAAGGGGGTGGTGATGGTCACCCACAGCTGGGGAGTTCCAGGTGGGGGAGAGATGGAGAGCTGGGTGGGATGAGGCTCACAGGGTCCCTGCTTGTCCTGGAGTGCTGGGAGTGTTGTGGAGCCTTCGTGTGGCAGCAGAGATGGCTGGGATGTCTCTGGGAAGGTCACACACTCCCTCCTCTTCTGTCTCTGCAGGTCTGCGGGACCTGCTGTTATCAGGGTGCTCATGGATAGCAGTGTCGGCACTTTGCAGCTCCAGCTGTCCTTTGCTGCGGACTCTGGACGTGCAGTGGGCAGAGGGACTGAAAGACGCACAAATGAGAGACCTCCTGTCGCCGCCCACGGACAACCGGCCAGGTAAGGGAGAGGAGAGTGTGGGAGCCCCATCCCAGCCCCTGGGGCGTGTCCTGCTGCTGCGTCCCCTCGGAGCAATCGGGCAGGAGCCCCCGGAGCCGGGGCTGGGGCTGTGCTGACCCACGGGGTGTTCGAGGCAGTGACTTGCAGCACCTCCTGGCCGGAGCCCCGGGGTGACAGGGATGTTCTCTGGCTGCTGAACCATCGTCTGAGCCACTGTGCTGGTTTTCTGTCTGACTTTCTTCTCTTCAGGCTGCAACGGGTGTACTTTAGAGAGTATGGAAACACTTTCTTCCAGTTCAGGGAAGGAGCAGTTCTGTGGGTCATGCCCCATTCGCCCGGATTTCAGCTCAGGTGAAATTTTGAGCAAATCAGATCTGCTTTCTGGCATGCACTGCACAGCCTACTGCTTATTCCCGACTTGTAATTCTGCTGGGCCCCTGCAGTTACTTCCATCCCTTTTGTTTTGAAGTCAGGGGGTGGCTTTGTCCACGTGCCTGTTCCAAAAATAGACAAGTGTTCCTGCTGATGTCCCCTCCAAAGCTCCAGACAGGCAGAAGGGTGTGAAGTTGACCTAGGGCAGCAGTGTCGTGTGTCACGGTGCATTTCATAGGCCTGCAGATGTCGGCAGCGCGGGTGGGACTCGGGGGACTGACCCGCTGCCTCCGCTCCCCAGGTCAGATCGACAACCGGAGCAAGCTACGGAACATCGTGGAGCTGCGCCTGGCGGGGCTGGATATCACCGACGCCTCTCTGCGGCTGATCATCAGGCACATGCCTCTGCTCTCCAAACTCAATCTCAGTTACTGTAACCACGTGACAGATCAGTCTATTAACCTGCTGACCGCGGTCGGAACCACCACGCGGGATTCGTTAACGGAAATTAATTTATCAGGTGAGGGACGCGCGGGGGGAGGGGAAGTGCCTGTGGTGTTGGGATTGGGTGAGGGGTTTGATCCAGCTTTTCCTGCCCCGGTGTAACTGCCCCACCCCGGGCAGCAGCTGGATGTGCTGCTGGTAGAAGTGGCCTCTGCCCGGGCTCCCCCCCAGCTGCCAGGGCAGTCGCCCCCTCTGTGGCAGCTGCGAGTGGCACCGTGCGTGTTTTGAGCCAGGGGATTGTCTCTGCTCTGCACATCTGGCTGCTTGGCTTTATCCCACGGTTACACAACAGCCGGGGGGATTGACATGGGCGATGGAGCAGCCTGGGATTCCGTGGGAGGGGCACAAAGGACTGACTGGTCAGGATGCGGGATAAGCCGTCCTCGTGTCTGAGAAGGAACCAAGCCGGGCTGTTAATTCCTGCCCTTTGTTCTCCCCCCAGACTGCAATAAGGTCACTGACCAGTGCCTGTCCTACTTCAAACGTTGTGGGAACATCTGCCAGATCGACCTGAGGTACTGCAAGCAAGTGACGAAGGAGGGCTGCGAGCAGTTCATAGCGGAAATGTCCGTAAGTGTCCAGTTCGGGCAAGTGGAAGAAAAACTTCTGCAAAAACTGAGTTAGTTAAAGGACTCGTGTAAATACTGGGGCGAGGGGGGGAAGGGACTAAGAACACGTAGGGATTTTATTTTCAATTGGGAACTTGGAATATCAGAAAATGCCGCGATTGGATTTTACAACTCTTGTCGAGGAGAGAACAACGTGAAACTACCCATGTTAAGAATTTCAACTTGTGCCACTAATTCAGTCCACCTGGGATGTCCTGCACTGGCTCTTATGCAAATTCATAAGGCGACTGTTACTGATGATAATTGTTCACACCCGGAAGAGGACTGAGCTCCAAGAAATACTGTTATTTAAAGTACCACAGCATGTGCTTGGTAGTGTAAATTTGATTTCTGCTTTTCATTTCTTAAAACAAGAAAAAAAAAAAAAGTTGGTGTCATTCAAGTGGACCACGCACTGCATTTCTGCCTTCTTAACACGTTTTGTTTTGTTACATCTTACATTATGCAGAACTATTTTTGTACAAAAATTGTTTAAAAATTATTTATGCAATGTTTGAATGCATTACCAGTGTTTCGGTTTTGATTGCCAATTTTTATCTTTACTTATGGTAGGCGAGAACTTAACCTATACTTCGTAGACAGTATCTATCTACAAACGTGCCCAGGTCAGGAAAAGTAGGTTCATACTTTCAACTTAAAGCATGTTTTAATGGAAGTTTATATCCTGCTTTGTATACTTCAGAAGTGACATAAGCATGTTGTGGAAATAAGGTGTAAATTATAGTTGAAGTAAAACACTTTTATCTGTATAGAAATCACCTTTTTCTCAAAATTTTAAAAAAAATTCCAATTTCAGCTTTTGCACATAGGAGGGTTTCACTCTGTAGCATGAGCTCTTGTACTCAATATAAAATTAATTTATACAGTGAGTCCAGCAGTAGAATAAATGGTCAAACGTAGTCTCTCTTTCTTTGAAGTGTGAGTTGAGTTCTCATTTAAGGTTTATAACATGGTTATTTCCTGATTGTAAAATTCTGCATTCATAAGTGCCATTGTTGTACGGTGTTGTTTTCGTAGACCTTCCTGATGCAGTTTTACCTTTGTTGAATTTGTATAAACAATTGTACAAAAAGAGGTGCTGGTTCTGCGCATTTCTATTGCCCTGTGGGGCTGGGGGAAGGTGAGTTGGGGCTGTCCAGGGAGGGGGGCAGTGGCTGCAGTGAGTGTGTGGTCTTTGTCCCATTTTCTAAGTGAGAATATTGCAAATCTTTTTTACTGAGGAAGCAGCAAAACATCCACTTCTGCATTCCCCCAGCAGGGATCTGCCCCGCGTGAGCTTGAGGAGCACTGACATCTCAAGCATTAAAGCCTGAGCAGAGTAATCACCACTTCCAGGGCTGCTTAAAAAAAAAAAGAGACAGAGGCTGGTGGAGCCCATCACCAATCTTTATTAAGCTTGAGTGGCTAATGAGCAGCATGGAAATAACACTGAGGGCATGTCTGTCTTCATTAGCCGCCCTGCTGGACAGACTCCAGGAATTAAGTACCATTAAAAAGTTACTTCTAAAAAATAAAGCCATTGAGAGGTTTGCTCCCTTCTGAAAAATACCCAGCAGAGCTCGGAGCTGTGTTTTAGGGTGAGGAGGAGCAACTTTCTCTCTTTCAGGGCAACTTAACTGTTCACAAAAAGGAGAGCCAGTGCCAGCACAGCAGAGGGACAATCCTCAGGTCCTGGACCTTTAGCAAAGCCCAGCCCTGACTCTGGTACTTTGCTGGCACGTGGCAAAGCAAAACAGAAACTGTACCTTTGTTAACAATCAACTCAAAGAGTAACTGTACTGGAGAGACAGGGTCCTTCTTCACCTCTTTTTTTTTAACAGAGAACTTAAACAATCTGTGTTAACCAAGCTCAGCCACAGGGATCCTCCCAGATCCCCAACAAGTGACCCTTGCCCCTCTCTTCCCCAGGTCATCACTCACAGGTATCCTGCAATTCCTGCTCCAAGAGGACCTACCTGTGCCTGTGCTGATGGCACAAAGCCCAGCTCAGCCCTGGGCCAAGGGCTGGCAGCGACGCAGGGGCCCCAGCAGCCCCTGGGAAGCTGGTTTTGGTGACTCAGCCTTGGGTGAAAGTCTCTGAACAAGAGGTTTTTAAACAAAACCTGTGTTTCCTTTCCCTGCTCCCACCTGCCCCCTCCCCAGTTAAGGTTAGTAATGCCACACATTCCACGTTAGCAGCAGGAGGTGGTGACCCTGATCAGTGTTCACAGTAACATCAGGCTGTCGGCACATGGAGTACAATCATCGCAGAGTAATAGCTACAACAGGCATGAGCGGATTAAGGACCACACTAATATGGTTTGCTAGAATACCCCTTTTTAAAAAAATACTTTCTTCCTAAACCCAAAACCACCCAGTAACTGGTTTTTGGAGCCCACCTGGCAGAGCCCTGTGCAGCCCCAGAGCCCTGCAAAGTGACGGAGTGTTTTGTACAGTGACAGAGAACAGCCAAGACAGCACATTGTGTCATGACAGACATTCAGAAGGAGCAATCAGCACAAAGCCAGATTGCTTAAGGGCTTCTGTGCAGGTACAGTTCATGGCAGTGCTTCCTACAGCTGTGCCCGACCCCGTGTCGGGACAGGTACATTCTAGAGTAAGGGAAAAGCTGAATATTCAACTGATATATTCATTGCTTCTAATGCACTAAGAACGCCACAGGCTATCACGGGCTCAAGCAGAGGTGTTTGCTGACCACTCGCCGAGTGCTGAACGCATAAGGAGATTCTTCAGAAGAGAGCAAGAACTGCTGTAAACAGTTTGACTCCAGCAGTCCCCAACAGGGTGATCAGCTCAGCGGGGCAGCGCCAGCCCTGCACACGCAGGCCTGGCCTCGGCCTGCCCAGCCCTGCCCTGCAGGAGGGGGTGGGTAGAAAAACCTTTCACAAACTCCAAAACCCGGCACTCAAGGGCCGTGTGTAACCGAGAACTGACGGGCTGAGGGGCTGCAGGGGCTCAGCGCTGCCGCCCCCCGCCAGCCGGGGCCGGCCTAGGACTTGAAGACGTGCACGGCGCGCACGACGTACTGGCGGCAGATGGGGCACTCGCTCATGCGCTTCCCGCACTTGGTGCAGGTGACCATGTGGCCGCACTCCAGCAGCACGCAGTCGATCACCGCGTCCATGCAGATCCGGCACAGGTTGTCGTCGTCCTCGTTCAGCTGCATCTTCTCACCCTCTGAAACCCAAAAGAGACGGGTCAGGCCCCAGGGCGGTTCCAGCCCAGCCACGCTCCACTCCTGTGCTGCTCCCTTCTCACAAGAGTTTTTCTAACCCCCAGCTCAGAATTAATCTCTATTCCTCCAAAAGCACTAGAAAGTCCCTCAGTGAACAGCCCCATATTTAGCTCCATTCTTTAAACTCAGAAAACCATTTTCAACTCAGAATATAATGGCTGTGAAATAACGTGCTGGATTAAAATTCAGAGCGTGTTGGTTTTCCGTCCCAGAGCTCAGTGTTTGGCAGAACATTTTCCTCAGAAGATTAAACACAATAATAATAAAGTAGACTAAGAAGTGGAAGCCCTAAGTAGGCCATAAAGGTGGTAGAACTGAACAGGTTTTGTTGCAAATAGCCAACATCCTCATCAATAATTGAATGTTCCATCAGACCATGGTGAAAAAACTAAAAATCCTAAGTTTAAAGCTTTTTTTTTTCAAGCTTTGTTTGTGTGAGCAGGAGTTGGTCTGTGGATATTCTGTAACCACACTCCAGCTGCTGAGGGCAACAGAGGTAGAACAACCCCAGTCACTGAGCTGCAGCCACAGAACCACCTCACCATGAAAACATGGACTGAGACCAAACCACTTGGACTTTTGCCACTGTAGCTTTTAATTCTGCTCTGCAGTGACAGAGCTGAAGTGCCCTGGCCTGCACAGCCGAGGAGCAGCTCTGGCCAATGCCCTGTGAAACCCAGCAAAGCACGTGGAGGTGCCAAGTTTCATGTTCTCTGAGGAACCGGTTCTCAGTTGTGCAATTTTACCTTCCCTGTGAAAGCTGAGCTCTCCAAGCTTTGGAAAAGAGTCTCAGAAAAACCAGCACAACCCTGGAAAGCTTCATTTAATCACTCAGGCCACGGTCAGCTGCTCTAGGGCCACCTTGCATTGCTAAAACCCACTTCCCAAGTGTTCCAAGTCAGACACCAAGTCCTGCTGGCAGAACCAAACACCGGAAACCAGAAAATGCACAGTCATAAAAAAATGAGAACAAAGTATAAACCTACGTGTCTTGTGGTTTTCCTCGCTCTCTCTGTACAGTCTGCTCACTTTTTCCACAAGTTCCCATTTCTCACAGCATCCTGAGTAGTTGACAAAGTTACAGGCCAGTATTTCCTTCAGCTGCCGAACACTCAACCCTTCGATGTCTTCCAGGCTTGAGATGTCGGACAGCGACGCCCTCGCTCGCTTCCTGGACAGTCCAGGGGTCTGAAACACATCAGTTGCATGGTTTGAGTGTCCTGCTAAGCTCAGGGCCCCAAATCTGGAGCTACACGAAGCTGCAGCAGCTTGGCTGAAGTTTAATTATTTTTAAAGTGAGCATGTGCAGACATTCATTGCCTGACACGGCGAACTCTGGAAGAACCAGAGCATGAGGCCAAATGCTGAGAGATCTAAACACTTCATGGTGTCACACACCAAAAACCTATTCCTTGGCTAGTTCATCTCTCACCTGCTCTTCTGCACTTTCTTCTTCTTCATTATTTACAGATGTTTCCGTTTGGCCCTGTGTACAAGATGAAACTAATCAGAATAAAAACCACGTTATTCCCTTATAAAACACTTCTCTTCAAAACAAGGTGATCACAGGTGACAACGACATTTAGAAGTTTCAATTGCTTTTAAATCATTACTTTTAAGAGGTTTAAGTCACCTCTAACCTAAACTAGGAGTCTTTGCTAATAGTCTCCTGGTTTCAAGTGTGGGATACAAAAGGTGTTTTTCCTGCCCCTCCAAACTGTACCAATTGATGTTTTATCTTAAAGTGAAGCAGAACTTCAAAAACAAACCAACAAAACCTCCCGGTGCTACACCATAAAACATGTCAATTACTGTACCCGTGAAGATGTTCCACTTCCTGTGCTTCCCCTTCTGTTTGCGAGTTCACCTGGATTGGACGTGGATACAGACATGGGAAAGGGATGAGTGAAAAACCCCGAGGTCTGTGAGCGTGACGAGCGCAAGCTGCCAGCGTCCATGTCCTGCTCCGACCCCAATCCGTGGTGGCACAGCACCAGATCCACCAGGTCTTCCTTCTCTCTGCAGGTGTCTGTTGGGATGTTCCTGAGAATCAGGTACTGACGCAGATCCTTCACTTTCAATCTCATTAGCTGAGGTCGCTGGAAGGCTGTTTCTTGCAGCAAGTGACAAGTGGAACATCTCCGGAGATTCTCTTGTGAGACTGAACAAACGGAGCAAAAATCCTTCTTGCAGTCACAGCACACGTGCTAAAGGGAAAGAAAACAACCATTCAGCTGTTTGTCACACCAAACAGATGCGGGCCCTGCTCCTTCCTTCTCCAGGCTATGGAATGTACTGTTAGTTTTTCCACTGTCAGCTGTGACGTATGGAATTTTTAAGGTTTAACTCCGCAAAGCTGCCCTGCCAGACGGTTTTGCGGGTGCTCCAAGGCAGTCCCTCGCTTCTGTGGCAATACTGAAGCTGAAGTCTCAGTGAAAAACATTAGGAATAAATAAATTAATAAAGTACTCAAGTTGTACTTTAACCAACAAACAAAACTGAAACTAATTTTACGGTCTGTTAAAACACTTGTGCATTTACTGTTGCTGCTCTTTTTGTGTGTAAAAACCCAGTATAACCCTCAAACTTTGAAGAACTTCTCAACTTCTTCCTCAACTGATTCCCAGAATGCAAAGCAGGCCTCGGATGAGATGAATCACATGGCAGGGAAATACTCCCCAATGCCCAGATGTCATTTCTGAAGAGAGCTTTGTTCAAAAGACTCACAATACACAAAAGCTGGACAATGGACCAGGCTGTGAGCATTTCATCTGCTGTCAACAAACCCAAACTCTTTGAGGCTTTCAGGATTTTAGGAAATTATTATCAGCTTCAGAAAACATCCCTACACACACTCGATTCAACAAAGAGCCTGCCATGTGATCAACAGGACACACAGGAAGGGGAAGCAACACACAGAAGGAGGGAAGAGGCTACACAATCATCTGAAAGAGCTGCGAGGGTTAAGTCACTGAGGGGACAAAATAACAAGCCTGGACAGTTGTGGTACACAGAAATAATAATAATAACAATCTCATTTATCTGCATTAACCCACCTGCCTGTCTCCCAAAGAAGCAACAGGCTGTTGGACCACAACAGCTTTTAGCAGGACTAAGGCTGGCTAGGAAACAATCAGAACTGCACTAGGAATTCCCCTAAAGAGGTTGTGATACTGCATTGTGAGTTTTTACCTTTCCCACCGTGCAGTTTGTTCTTTCCAGTACTCAACCACTGCGTTTGGTGCCATCTTCAAAAACAGACCTGCTTTAATGTTTAAGATCCTGAAGCCAACACGTTTGTATCTCACAAATGAGAGTCCGTTAATTTCCAGGTCAGCCCAGATCCAACGTGTCCCTGACTAATGAACACGAGACCTCTTAACTTCTAATCCTGGCTGACAGTAATTTCCTGTGACCTCAGAACAAGGCACTTCCTCCCTCCCTGGATTTCTGCCTTGGTTTTCTGAGAAGCACACACTCATCTCCCAGTGTGCCACAGATTAGTTCACAGGGTAAATATACCGTGTCATAGGGAATATACTCACTTTTTTCCTGAAAACTGAGAAGGAAAGTCCACAGGCTTTGCAGACAATGTTAGTGCTGGCTGCAGCTGGAGCTGGATACGCTGAGAAGTCTGTACTTGGTGTAAACCTGAATGGGCCGGCACCTCCCCCAAACCCAGCCTGCTGGCCACGCACTGCTCCCGTCCCCATGACTTCATTCAGCAATCCGCAGCAGGAAGCCCACATGGAAGTAGCTCCCGCCTGAAAGCGTCAAGAAGCAAGAGCAGAAAATTAATATCTGAAGGCCCCCATCAGATGTGACTTTGCTACCGAGGAGCTGCTTCACTCCCATCTGTCGTCATCCCAGAAGCATGTGGTGTGAATTCCCAGAGCACCAGGAATCCTGTGACAGCCCCGCCAGCTCCGCTCCAGCTGAAATCCGAAGTGGGAAAGATTTGCCTCCGAGAGGCCAACGCAGGCCCAGGGAGCTCACATTCACAACTCCTTTTCCAGCAGAATTCCCCACAAGAAGAGTCAGGAATTTGAGGAGGTGACACAGAGCAAGGAAGGAGGAGACTGACAGGCTGTTGTAGGTGAGGGGCAAAACCCGAGAGGATGACAGGCAGGAACAGCAATTTCTCATGATTAATGCAGAGCTGTCCCTGCAGGATCTGCTCCAGAACTAATCCAGCTCCTGTATGACTCACAACAAAACTCTCTCCAAAAAAACATTCCTGGGTTTCAAACTTGAAAACCAATCTTCGTTAGAAGCTCATTACAGTCTGGTTTCACTGAGAGGGAAACGCTGTTCAAAACCTCCCTGAATCCCCTTGTTTTGTTGCCTTACAAAACGTCTAACAAGAATTAAAACAACTTTTATTCTCTCTTGACTGGATTTCAGTTTTGAGTCACACAGTCTTAAAACACTACAAAAAATCCTAGACACATTAAAAATGCTACTTTTTATCCCTGAAAGCCTTTAGTGCTGGATTCTCTATCAAAAGTGCATATTCTACTCAGAGGTGGAATTTGGACTCCAAGCTGTTCAGGTCACATGTTTAATCACTGTCAGGTGGCTCCCTGAAACCTGCTCAAAAAAAAAGTGGGGTAAAACAATCCCATCAGGTTCTCTCTGGAAGGAAGCTGAGGGGTACAACTTCCTATAAACATAATTACTTTTTCATACTTTTTTTCCTTCACAGCTGTTCTCTTTTTCATTCCAGAGGATCCTCTTTTTGTTTCCCCAAAGCACAAAGACAGAAAATAACTGCTTTTGAGACTTGTAATTCTTGCTGTGAAACCCAAACCAACCAGTACAGGCACGTCAGCTCAGTGACATGGTGCTGTAACTCCTGAAGTAACTAATTTCTCCATGAAATCCAATCCTCAAACTAAGCCTTGTTTTCTACTTCTTAATCCAACATAGCTCCAAGTTTTAAAACTTGGGACTTCTGAAAAATACTTTTTCTCATCTTAAGGGGAAGCAAATATCAGAAATATATATATCAGAAATATACATGTACAAATACCAGAAAAATAAAACGATGAGCCAAAAGAGCCTGTCAAAATTCAACTCGTTTCCTTACACAACTACGGTCTTTTCGTGATATTTGCTACCGCAGCCCCTGCCTGAGGGTTTAACACCTGCTTCTTAGACCTATTTTACTCCAGAGCCTGTAGCAACTGCTCAGACATCACTGTCAACACTAAATAAATGTATTTTTAGGAACTTTTCATTACCCACTTTGGACACATGACTGCTGTTAGTATGAAACAGAGAATCTCTTTATCTTACTGCCAACCACTCAGTCATTTCAAGGTTTAGGATAGGGCTACCTGGGCACCATTAATTTTCTCCTTAACCTACCCTACGCCACCTGTGGATTCCTCCTATGCCCTCGGGTCATTAACTGCTAATTGAATTACAGAGTCTAGACTCTCCATATTGCTCTGCAAAAGAAACCAGACCGTGCTGAAAGGCACCAACACAGCACACAAGCGAGACACGGTAAAACAAAAAAGTCCCTCCCTTGGGAATCAGCTAAAACGCTGCCAACTTCTGCACCAAAACCACCGCTCTCCACTTCCATGTTCTCTCCTCGCCAGCTGCCATCGAGTATCCTCTCTCTCCACGCCTTATGCGCGTCCTACGGGGGCAAAACACTGCGCTGCAACTTCTCTGCGGCTGCTTTTGGCTGTGAGGGGGGCACCTGAGGAGGATTCCAGCTGAGAAACGCAGCCGAGCTGCTGCTCCCCACACATCTGTGCGAGGGGGTGCTACCAGAACAGCGGGACAGCAGCGGAGGGCACACGTATTTTTAATTATTTTTAACTGGAACTTCCTCTTTTGACCCTCCCTTAGACCGAGCAAAGCTTTTTCCCCCGACCGCACAACGACAGCCCCGGGAGCCTCAGGGGCGCCCCGGGGTCCGGCAGACCCCGCTGCGCCCCTCACAGGCCCAGCCCGGGCCCTGCCCGGCTGCTGACTCAGCACGGGGCGCGGGGCCCCTCAGCTCGGCCGCGGCCGCCCCTCACAGCGGGACGGCGCCCGCGGCCTGAGGGGAGGCCCGGCCCGGACACCCCAGGGGGGCCCAGCCCCGTCACCCTCCGCCGTTCGCCCCTCTCTCTCCCCCCAGAAGGAAAAGCGCTCTCCCGGCCGGACAAAACCCCTCACCCTCGCGGCTCTCCCCTCACCTTCATGGCCGCTCCCGCCGCTCCGGCGCCGCCGCCGCCCCCGCCCCTCCCGGACCCGCCGCCGGCCCGCTCGGAGGGCGGGCTCTGCCGCCGCGCCGCGCGACCATTGGCTGCCGCGCCGCCGCACCGAGCGACCATTGGCTGCACCGCCCCGACGGCGAGCGGGAACGGCCAATGGGAGCGGGGAACGAGGGGATGATGGGCGGGGCAAAGAAATGCCCCGAGCGGGGCCGGGACGGGAGGGAGGAACGGGGTGGGTGACGGTGGCACTGAGGGGTGATGGTGGCACTGAGGGGACCGGGGGGTGACGGTGGCACTGTGGGGACCGGGGGGGTGACGGTGGCACTGTGGGGATCGGGGGGGTGATGGTGGCACTGTGGGGACCGGGGGGTGACGGTGGCACTGGGGGGTGACGGTGGCACTGTGGGGACCGGGGGACACCGACAGTGTCACTGACAGGGGGAACGACGGTGCCAGTCACAAGTGGGACTGGTGGTGGCACCGATGGTGTCACACACAGTGGCACTGATGGTGGCACCAAGGTGATCCTGCCCTTCCGCTCAACTCCTGGAGTGCTGTGTCCAGTTCTGGGCTCCTCGGGATGAGCTGCTGGAAAGGGTCCAGCAAAGGTCACGGAGATGCTGAAGGGACTGGAGCATCTCTCCTGTGAGGAGAGACTGGGGCAGCTGGGCCTGGTTAGTCTGGAGAAGGCTGGGGGGGGATCCCATCAATCCATATCAATCCCTCCAAAGGGTGTCAGGGGATGATGCCAGACCCTTTCCAGTGGTGCCCACTGATGGGATGAGGAGCAATGGCCATAAACTGAAACACAAGACATTTCACCTCAACATGAGGAAGAACTTCTTTCTGAGGAGGTGACAGAACCCTGGAGCTGCCCAGGGAGGGCACGGATTCTCCCTCTCTGGAGACATTCCAAACCCACCTGGACACGTTCCAGTGTCACCAGGTGACCCTGCCTTGGCAGGGGGGTTGGACTGGATGATCTCCAGAGGTTCCTTCCAACCCTAATGACCTTCCCTTATCCAAGGTTGCTCCAAGCCCTGTCCAACCTGGCCTTGAACACTTCCAGGGATGGGGCAGCCACAGCTTCTCTGGGCAACCTGTGCCAGGGCCTCCCCACCCTCTGAGTAAGGAATTTCCTCCTAATATCTAACCTAAATACAGCTCTTTTAGTTTTATTTTACCAAGCCCTTTGGTGATAATCTTTAAATACGAGAATAGAAGGTTTATTATGTAAAAATCCACTTCCAGCGAGCTTCTAGATGCCATTATTTTTTTTCCCTAGGCTGTGAATGGGATATATATAAAAATAATAATCATAGGTTGTAGGAACAAAAAGCTTTTAACCAGAAGATTACATTAAAGAAACCCCAGAGGCACAAACCCCACCAAGGCTTTGGGAACGCTTTACATAAGAACACCCAGGGCCAAGAACAAGGGAGGCCTTTGCCAAAAAGAGGAACAGACAAAAGTGGCTGAAAATAAAAATGGCCCACAGATCAAATTTACCCCTACAAAGGGTTGGATACAACTTGCTGATTTCTGCAGAAAGGATCTATTTTTGGAGCAAGTCAGATACAAGAACTGAGTCCAAAAAATCAGTGTGTAATTGCCACGTGAAGGGCACAGTCCTGGCAGCTTTGGGAGTAGGAGCAGGTACTTCACACAGTCCAACTTCTGGATTTGCACTGACACCATGTTTTATTTCAAAATCAGGTCACCTTTTTTTGGAAATTCTTATGCTCCTCAGCAAGCTTTAGATATGCTCTGAACTTTTACACATGACTTAATAAAAATGTCATTTTTTTCCAGTAATAGCTTGCAATTTTAGTCAAAGCAACTGAAAAAAAATAGAAAAGCCTTGTGAATACAATGTTGGAACAAGATATGGCACATTCCCCACGTTTCTCATGCAAGAGATTGCTTGAAGACACCTTCAGAAATACCGGTGCAGTTTGGTTTTAAAAACTTCTGTGTCATCTAAACTCTGTCAATTCGGATTCACCCTTGAAGCACCAAACTACACACATATCTGGGTTAATAATCTTACATTAAAGCACGAGAGCTCCATGCAGTAACAAGGCAAAAGCTGTCCCACAGATGACCCAAACCAAGCAGAAACCGACATTTTCCCTTTCTCTCTGTCAAGGATCTGCCTAAAAACAATCCTCCCAAGCACAGATGTTTTAGGGAGTAACGTGGGCCTGACAGAGCTGAGATCTGGTGACTGTGCTGGCAGCTGCACTTGCCACTCCTGCCTTAATTTGGGCAGATCTTGATGAATCACACCCTTAACATGTGATCTGAGATCACTTTTACTGCCTTTGCCTGAATTGTAACCACCTCGATGGTTTTTAAACGGGGATCTTTTTAACTCCGTGGGTGAAAAGGAGCGCTTGGAGAGGTTCTATTAATAAAAGATTTGCCCTCGCTGAGCCTCCTGGCTCGTGCCAAAGCAGCATTAAAAGATTTCAATCTGTTCCTGCGAGATGTCCCACTTACTTCTGCCACCAAGTAACAAGTGGTGGTGACTTGGCTGCGGGTCCGTAACCCCCCTGGGGTTTTACACGTCACCAGAGAGAGAGGTGCAGAAGGGATTCCTCCCAGGAACGTTAATTAGGGTTTAATTTAACAATCTGCAAAATTTAAGAGCAAAGTTAAAAAAGACAAGCCTAATCCCTGGGCTTTATCTGGGAATTTCAGGTTGGACGTTAATGCCCATAGGAGGAGTCACAGAATGGTTTGGGTTGCAAGGGACCTTAAAGGTCATTTAGTTCCAAATCCCTCTAGTGGAAGGGACACCTTCTGCTGCCCCAGGTTGCTCCAAGCCCTGTCCAACCTGGCCTTGGACACTGCCAGGGACAGGGCAGCCACAGCTTTTCTGGGCAACCAGCAGTTTGGAACCACCTGTGAGAAGGTTTTTAGGCCACAGAGAGCTGGTTCAACAGATCCAGCACAGAAATGGAAGGATCCCCAATCCCAGACAGAGGCCATTTCCTGCTTGATGAGCTCAGGGATGTTACTCAGGGGCTATTTTAGGTGAGATAAAAGATGACTTTTTCAACCCTGTTACCTAATCTTGAATTTAATGTAACCAACATCATCTCTCACTGCTTATTTGGAATTTGGAGGGCTGGTTTTTAGGCGTTTGAGCTCACTTAAATAGACTTTAAAAGTGTATCCTGAGTGTTCTCTGTACCACGCACTGAAGGATTGTCAGCAGAGTTCACACTTCGGCTTCAGAGCCTTGCACAGAAACATCAGAACCAGATGTTTGCCATTTCCTTTTTCCTCCCAGCTCTGCACGAGCTGCTGCAGCCCAGCCTTTATCTCATCTCCCTCCCCTCCCTGCCCAGCCACGCCACCAGTTCCGTGTTTCCACCCAAAGCCATCGTGCTTTAGTTCCAGGAAATGTCAGCAAATTGACCTTTGTATGACATGATAGCTGGAGTTACTTCCCAGGTTTTATATTCAGATATGGTTCAATGAGTTCATTGAGGGCTGGGAAACGATCATTAATTATGCCAGCAGCAACTAACTACAATGTTAAGTTCCTTAAATGTAAATGTATTCTAGAAAATTACTCCCCACTTGATTTGCCTCCTCCTCCCCCTCTCACCACCCCCAGGCATGAATCAGGAGCAGAGCAACGAAATCCCCAGAGACATGCAGATGTATAATAACACTGAGTTTTGTTTTGCTCTCACTTACAAAAATGAGAACTATTATAATAATTGGAGGATTTTCTTTGGGAATACGATGCCTTAATGAAGTGCTTTAACAACTTACTGAGAAAATAAAAACTTGCATGTGGAAACGTCTTTGTTGCATCACAATTAACTTGCAAATCCAAACGGAAGTGAATTCACTCCATGGTGTTCTCTGTCTGTAACATGGAAACACTCCTATTAGAGCAGAGAGAATATGTATTGAACAGGCAGGTTCATGTAAATTTTACTGTATAAAAGACGTCACTTTTTTTTTTTTTTTTTTTTTTTTTTACCCCTTGGGGTAGGAGCCCCTGGTGGTCTACCGGTAAAGGCGCCGCGCTGTCACCGTGGAGACCCGGGTTCGATTCCCGGTCAGGGCCACTCCCGGGCAGGTGGGGCTCGTTAGCCCTTAAAGGCAACCCACCTACGTCCTAAGGACCTCGCTGCCACCGTCCAAGCTCGCTTGGCCCCGGCAGATGAACCTTAGGATTAAAGGGTGGGCTCAGTTCCGCGCACACTGTGTCTCACCTAAAAAATCCAATGCGCAGGCTGGAAGGTGGAAAGACCTTCCCCGGATCTTCGCTCGCGAAGACTGGCCATTATTTATTATTACCCCTTGGGGTGCTTGATTTGTGGAAAACTCCACCTTGCACCCTGTGTAGAATAAACAATGTTTCTGTTCAAAATTCAGACTCTGTGTCTGTGTTTAGAGAGCTCCTAAAATCTGCAGCAGCCCCACCAAGCCACTGCCTGTGGTCACCTCTGCCTCACCTGGTACAAGTGTGGCCACCTCTGGTAATCACAGGATCATGGAGTCATTACAGCTGGAAAAGACCTCAAAGATCATCGAGTCCAACCTTTGACTGATCACCACCTTATAAACTCAACCGTGTTGCAAAGTGCCACATCCACTTGTTGTATCCCAGGGTCCAGTTGCTCACTGCCAGCTCACATAAGAGTTTTCCATCACCCCCAAGTGCTTCTCCACAAGGACACCCCACACCCTCTCCAGGCAGCCTGTTCCAGTGCGCAGTCACTCCTGACAGGCTGTGGCCGCCTCACAGCCCTTGGTCACGGCTCCCCACGGGCAGGGACCACAGCTCCCCACAGCCCATCCCCATGGCTCCTCACAGCTTGTGGCCATACCTCCTCACAGCTTGTGGCCATATCTCCCCACAGCCCGTCCCACGGCTCCCCACAGCCCGTCCCACGGCTCCCCACAGCCCGTCCCACGGCTCCCCACAGCCCGTCCCACGGCTCCCCACAGCCCGTCCCACGGCTCCCACAGCCCGTCCCACGGCTCCCCACAGCCCGTCCCAGAGCTCCCCACAGCCCGTCCCAGAGCTCCCCACAGCCCGTCCCAGAGCTCCCCACAGCCCGTCCCAGAGCTCCCCACAGCCCGTCCCAGAGCTCCCCACAGCCCGTCCCAGAGCTCCCCACAGCCCGTCCCAGGGCTCCCCACAGCCCGGGGCAGTCCTGGGGAAGGAGCCCCAGAGCGACCCCTCGAGCCCTTCTCTCCCCGGCCGCTTCTCTCCCCGGAACGTCACTCCCGCGCTCCGCGCTCCGAGCCGTCCCCGCGGTGCCGTCGCACAGCCCCTCCCCACCCACCTTTGATTGGCCGCAGCTCCGCGCGCGCGCCACCGGCGGCGCCGGCGATTGGGCGGCGGGGCGGGGCGCGCGCGGTCTCCCTGGCGACGGCGCGCCCGTGCCGCCGGTTCCCCCGCGGGCGCCGCCATGGCGAGCGTGCACGAGAGCCTGTACTTCAACCCGATGCTGAGCAACGGCGTGGTGCACGCGAGCGTGTTCGGCGCCCGCGACTGGGTCACCCCGCACAAGATGGCCCTGCTCGTGCTCCTCAGCGAGCTGGGCCGCGCCGGCGCGCAGCTCGGGCTGCTGGAGCGCCGCCGCCTCAACCGCCTGCTGCTGCCGCTGCTGCAGGTCGGGGGTGGGCCTGGGGGGCGGGTGGGAGCCCAGGGTGTCGTGGCCTCGTTGTCGCGACGTGTCGCTGTGCTCCGCAGGGTCCCGACATGGCGCTGTCGCGGCTGCGCGCGGCCATCGAGGAGTGCTGCCCGCAGCTCGCCAGCTCCGTCCACATCAGGTGCGGGAAACGCCTCGGGCGGGGCCGGGCGGGGCGGGAGGAGCTGCCGGGGCCGCGAGTGCATCCCCCGCTCTGGCTGGGCCTGGCACCTCAGAACTGCTCCGAAACGTGCGAACGACCGGTTTTAAAAGTCACGCATTCGGGGCAAAACTGCGCTCCTGCAGTTTCTCTTGCTTATCGGCAGTTAGTTCTGAAAGGCACAAACCAGATGTGGAAGGCATCGGGTTTAAAGTTGATGTGGTGCAGGAGGTCTGTTCTCACACATGACCCGCTGAAACAGCAACAGTTCCAAAACTCTGGTCAAAGGTTTTCAATTTTTAAAATCTAAAAATTAAAAATCAAAATGTTGGGTTCCTATTAGTTCTGTTGCAATAGCCATATTTTCTAGTTATTCTTTTTATTAAAAGAGCTATTTTAAAAGGAAAAAATTATTGATATTATTATCATAATCATTATCATTACTTTTATAGTTATCACAATTATATTGAATATTTATCTCAGGAGTATAAAAGCCTTCTGCCCCCGGTGAAGAGTTACCACTTGGTTCTGTCTGTGTTTATTCATTTTTGCCTGAAACAGAAGAGTCTTTTATTTAATGTCTGTATGAATACCCTAAAAAAAAATGTCGTTTTCTCTCCCTGTTTAGGTTAAAACTTATGGTAGAAGGAGAACTGAAAGATATGGAGCAGTTTTTTGATGACCTTTCAGACTCACTTACAGGGACAGAGCCAGAAGTTCATAAAACAAGTGTAGTAGGTAAATAATTGCTATCCATAAGTTATTTTTGCTGTGATATCTGTAATTGCTGTAGTTTAGTCAGGACACAGCTTTGTTTTTCTTTTTGGGGAGGTGTAAGAATTTTTCTCTTGCTCAGATATTTCATATTAACCAATAATTTTGCATATTGTCAGGTTGTTACCGATTTTAACAGTTTTTCTGTGATCAGATTATTTCTGAGATTTGCACCAAAATTAAGACCAGATTTGTACCCTGAAAAAATGGCTTTTATCACTTGGTGGGCTGAGATGAGGCTCATTCATTTCTATTAAATTTCTCATTGATTTCTCATTAATTGCAGTTAAATGAGAAATGAGATGATGTGGTTTAAGCTCCTGGTCACAATGCTTCCCTTCCCAGGTCTGTTCCTGCGCCACATGATCCTGGCATACAACAAACTCTCCTTCAGCCAGGTCTATAAACTTTACACAGCCCTTCAGCAGTACTTCCAAAGGGATGAGAAGAAGAATGGAGCTGATGAGAGTGACATGGAACTCACAAATCCGGAGGAGCTGGATGGGAAAATGGAGAAGGAAGAACTCGACGGGCCATTGAGGTGATCTATTCACATTAAAGCCTTTTCTGCCTCTAAAAGAAATCAGTCCTGGATTTTTTTTTAAAGCCTCTTAAACCCGGGCTGAGCTCTGTGGCTACTTCTTAGTGCCACCATGTGGTAACTCTTGTCAGTGGCTCATGGAAGGTGGCAGTGCCTCATCCTCACTTAGGCAATCACAGGCTGAAGGGCACTTGCTGCCCACACTTTCCCCACTGCTGGTTGACTTCTCTGGTTGTCATGTGCTAAAGCTGTTGGGTCACCTCCAGCAAAGGGTGTTGCTCAATAAGAAGTTAAGCTTAATGTTTTTTGGGTTCTCTCTCCACCCCTCTCCTAATAAAAGAACTCACCCTTCGTACTTGCTGTTTTTCCTTGGAATAAACTTCTGGCAGAAGAGCTGTTTCCTGGAGTGATGTGTGAGGCCAGAGTGCCAGTTCATTTCACTGGGACAATCTGCAGAAGAAATTTAAAACAGAGCGAATCCATTTGAATGTGCCAACCCTGAATCTTCTCTCTGTTCTTCAGATGGCTTTGGTGTAGTAAATTTTACTCTTTGTTTTCTCAGTTTTCAGCCCTGCTTTGAGCATTAATATCTCATAAAACTTTATAAAGCAAAAAAAAACTATGGAGTGTCTGATAAATTGTATTTCCTTATTCTATTTCCTTAGCCCTGTTTGTAACCAGAGTGTTTCTTACCAGGGAAGAAGAGATATCCTGCAGTGGCCCTCTTTCCCAGAAACAAGCAGAGTATTTCCTGTCTCAGCAGGTATTTTAATTCTGAATAAAGTGGGGTAGATGTTCCATAACGTGAATTTCACCTTGACTTTTATCCACAGTGCCAGACACGATGCTGGATCTGTTAAAGGTTTGTTGATAATCTTGCATGTTGTTGCTCAGTGTGAGCACTTGGGGCTCAAAGTGTTTTATCCAGACACCACCATATGCTGATATTTGGTTCTGGGAAGGTCCTTCCGCTCTCCCTGCTCGCCTCAGATCTGATGTCTGTGAAATGTGCAGTTTTGTTGATTATTCCAGCTGGTAAATACAAAATGGAGCAGAAATACACGTGGGCACAAATGTCAGGAATTCAGTACTCAGTAATGCTCATTCTAGTAACTGGATTATTGGAGTTTTTTTAATTAATTGAACTACTTGCCAAAGCAAACTGTGGATTTAGTTGTATTTATTTTCCTGATTTTTTTTTTTTATTTTTTTGGTGAGAAGATACATGTAATTCCAGTGAGAAATGTGTTTGTTGTGTTAATTATTCAAGGGGAAATTTCACCAGAATTCTTTAAGTACCTTTAAACAGTCCTTTGAAAAAGCTTTTATTTGACTTGGTCTCTCTGATCTCTGGAAAGTGAACACTGTAATTTAATGCAGAATAAAACTGACACTGATGTTTCAGTGTCACAGTAGACAGAGCTGTTACAAAATCTCCTTTAATGTTCTCTCCAAGCAGATAACAACCTGACAGTCCTGTATCACAATGCACTTATAACCCTCCTGATCGAGTTACATATCTTGCTTTTCAAATTTTTATTCCAGGCTTCTTTATTAAAGAATGATGAGACAAAGGCTCTTACTCCAGCATTGTTACAAAAGGAACTGAACAACTTGTTAAAATTTAATCCAGACATTGCTGAAGCAGTAAGTACCATTTTCTTCATCCAGAATGGTTGTAAAGGGATTTCTTATCTCTAGGCTGGGATTATTTTGGAGCAATTTATTCTCTATTGAAATATAAGCAGATGATAAAAATGGGAGCAAGTTGCATGTAAATTTTTAGTAATTCAGACTGAAACTCCTGAAGGCCCAGAAACCTTAATTAAGCTTCCCTGCATGTCTGGCTTCATGCATAGATATAAGCCTCTTAATTTTGGTGGGACTGAGTGCATTCTTGTTTAACTAAACCTAAAGCTTACTTCTCTTACCCACATTTTCTAAGGAATTTCAGGACTCATATTCCCATAGTTTAAAAATCAGTATTAGGTGCAATATCTGTGCTTAATAACAATTTATACTGAAAACCCTGACAATTCCCACTGAGGGTCATTTCCAGACCTGTGCTGTGAGCACTTGCCTTGTTCCTGAACAGCTTGTTCTTGAGCAAATTCCATGAGTTCCCAGTCATCCCTTTCCTGCTTTCCTGTCTAATTCTTCCTCCCTGGGCTGAAGCAGACAGGATTTTTTGCTCCTGTTTGGACACATATCCTTGAAAGGGCTGCCACAGTCCTGGGCTGGGCTTCACAGCTCCATAAGTCCTCTCCAGTGTTAGGTCTGTCTCACATAAAGGAATTGCCCTGCCTGGGTCTCAAGAAGAAAACACATAATTTTAGCATCTCCTTTCTACCTGCACAGCATTTGGAAGCAGTGCTGATGTTTCTGAGTGTCTTCCCGAGCGCAGACACGGTGGGAGTTGTTCCTCCATTCCCCCTCTCACGTCACACATAAATGCAGGGATTCTGCTTTGGTGATTCTACCTATGCAGAGATCTCAGGCTGGGTGGGATCGTTCTGACTGCCAGAGCTTGGCCTATGGGACACCAACTGCTGGGGACAACAACCAGTTTTGTCTAGAAATTCTGCACAAGGGAGTATCAGTGTTGTTGTAGCTTTCTGACCATGCAGTATTTCATGGCTGACCAACTTTTCTCCCTAAGAAAATAGATGGTAATTATAAACACAAACCATGTTTTAATATCTG